CCTGTAGTATTACTAGTACTGCGATAGAGGCTACAGGATGCCACAGAAACATCTGGAACTTATGGGGTTAAATTGCTGTACAAACACTTAGGACCAGGGCGCGTGTGTAGGAATGCTTAATCCGTAATACGTAATTAATGCATTTTGAGATAAGTATAGGCTTGCTAATAGGTTATTAATTGCTGCAGTATGGGTATAACCCTTGTATTACCTCTGTATGTATGAGCTACATCATCTGTGATATAAAAGCTTTGTTAACTCGTGGCTCAGTTCTTTGAAGACGCTAGTCTGACTGGGACTCTGGAGCTGCAGAATAAATTTTATTTTTATTTTTTCCTATGACCTGATACCAAGAGCATCTGGTGCCTTGGCCGGGAAACATAGAAACAGTATGAGAAGTTGAGAACTTATAGGTATCCAAAAGGTTGCAGGCAATTGGCAAGGAGGGGACTTTAATAAATGTTTGGGCCAAAATGAGATGAGGTGGATATTCAACCTTGGGACCTTACAACCCAGAGATTTGAATATCGACTTCGAACTATGCCACTTTATCCAAATATGCTACTATACCTAGTTATTTGTATGATATCCCACTTTTAACTTTTGAAATAACCGATGCCATTTTTTCTTTGGAAAATTTTATTTTATACACCATAGACAATATTTATTAGGCAGCCCCCCAAAAAACTTTCCCTATAAATTATTTTAGAAATTGTTACAATATATAGTTTTCTTATTTCCTTGTCTTGGGGAGCTTTTGGGCACTCACCTCCTCGGCCAGCAGCCTGTGCTGACCGCACCGATCTTTCCCACATATGCCTGGAGGAGCCTCTCTGTCCCGTGTGCCGGGACAAAAAGAACTGGGGAACCTTGGAGGTACAGGGATTATAAGGGAAGCAGGCGGGATCTCAAATATTTAAATTTTGGGGGGGAGCTTCTTGTCTACAGGCACAGAGGATCCTGGGAAGGATGACCCTGTAATGTTTGAAACCCCTTGCAGGGGGGGTTTTGCATAAAAGGCCATATGTGGCCCTGAATAATAGAGTTCACTCCCAGCATTCAGTCTCGACTAATGTCTGTGGGGAAACGTTATACCTCCTCTGGAGTTTTACTACTTGGGAAATTCTATTCTTTATCGTTATCACCACGGGAGTGGCTGCAGCAGAGTTCTGGAGAGAGGGAAAAAGACATTCCTGTTGGCAAAACCAGTGTTCCTATCTGGGTGGCCGTCACACAAAGTATATATACAGTATTTGAGTATAAAGGGTTGGGATTGGGAATCAGGTTCCAAAGCAGCCTTTTTTTTTTCTTTTTTTCAAATACCGTCCCAAGACCACCATTAGTGCTGCTAGTACCACTGGCAATGGTACTGCAATTCCTTCTCCTGATCCCTGCTATGATTTCTAATAATAGCAAGGTATCATTGGTGAAAACCATTGTAGTTGTCATTGCTGCTTCACAAGAGTTGCCATTGTCTGATGTTGCTGGAGGGGATTCTATTTCGCATTGAAATATGGCATAGAACACACGTAACTTTTTTCTTTGGTAATATTTATGTATTGTGGCTAATGTGTACTATAGTCATTGGTGCTGCACAGGTAAAGTGGGAGTTTGAGCAAGAACATAGTCCCGTCTCACTATTGTTTCTGCAGTTTTGAAAGAGGAGCTGGCTAAGACTGTTGGTCAGTGCACTTCTCCACAATGTGGAGTGCTCCTAGTGGTCAGCATGCCTTTCTTTCCCTGACAGCACTCTGGTATCTGAGGAAGCTGTTACTAGAAGTTCAACTGTAGCAGAAGCGACTTCTGTCACTAGCGAATAGAGTGGATATCTTTCTGCATGCTGAAGTGATGGATGAGAAACACACTTATGATAATATTCTGCAGGCAATTTTTAGGATGGTATCATTTTGGCTAGGAGAGCAGTTAGCACCGATGTGGAACAGGGGGGTGGGGGTGAGTTGGGCACAGGCAAGGCCAAACATCATGTCTGTAAGAGCCTCATGTTAAAATTTAGAAATATTCAAGATCTGCAATTAAATTCATTGGAGTATTCAACGGAACCAAATATATCTCATTCTCACCAGTCTCTCCCTGTGCCCCATATGTCTCACTCCTCTCATACCCCCAGCCCCCCACCACCCCATCTAATTTCCTCCCATCCCCCCTCTATGTCTTCACCCTTCCCCCATGTGCCAGCTTACCTCCCATGTGTAGCATGACTGAGCAGCAGACCACAGCAGAGGAGCTTGTATATTTTCACCCAGTCTGACGGGAAGCAGTTCGGCAAAACAAGCTCCTCTACCGCAGTACACGTCTCAGCTATGCTACAAGGAATGGCTGGCAGGAGGGGAGCGCTCAATCTCTCCACCTGCCGGTCAGCCGAATCCTATGACGATGTTAGTGAATGGTGTAACTCCACTTTGGAGAGGATTTTGGAGCAGAAATCCATAGTCTAACTTTGGATAAGTGCATTGGTATTGCACCTTCTCGGAGTAGCGATGACTGGTCAGCTGGAATAAATCATTTAAGCATGTCATGGACAGGCTATCTCCTTGTTCACCATTCTACTGAGCAAGATGGATGGCTTCGTCGAGAACCACAATGTTATTCCTGTTGGTGTTGATGTAGCAGCACTGCTCAAAAGACTCAAGTATCAGCTAAAAGTTGATGATTCTTCTGAACTGAAGCTACCTTCTCTGTGACATCCTAGTGTTAAGGGGAAACGTAAATTACTTAAATACCCTTATAACCACACTCTCCCAAGAACCCAAACAACTATTTCACACTCTCTTCTTAGCCTTGTTGTTCCTCCTGCTGCTACCAATTTAACCGCCACAATTTTTGCAACTCACTTCACTGACAAGATCTCTACAATCTTGGAAATTACTTCCCCCAACCTCACTCCCTCTGCTGTTCTATGTTCATTCACACCCTCTACAGCAGAATGGGTTTCTGCTCTGCTCCGGTCCTCCCATCCCACCACCTGCTCCCTTGATCCTATTCCCTCGCATCTCATCCGTACTCTGTCTACTTCTCTTGCTCTGCTATCTCTCCCTCTCCTCTGGCATATTTCCATCACCCTTCAAACATGCAACTGGAACATTGATTTAAAAAAACAAACAAAAAAACATTTACCCTTACTCCCCGTCCAACAACCGCCCTCTCTCGCTATCGCCTTTTACACCCAAGATTCTTTAACAGACTTGTGTATGTCAGATTGACAGTCTAACTCTCTGCTCGACCCACTTCAGTCTGGTTTCCGCGCTCAGCACTCTGTGGAAACGACTCTGACCAAAGTATCCAATGATCTACTCACTGCAAAATCTCATGGTCACTATTCTATCCTAATTCTCCTTGACCTTTCTGCTGCTTTTGACACTGTTGATCATCAACAGCTTCTTTTCATCCTCATTAATCTCGGTCTAGAAATTGCTCTCCTCCTACGTCTCCCAGCACTCTCTTACTATTTTTTTTTTTTGTTTGTTTTTTTCCTGGCTCTGCCTCTCCCCCCCCCCAACCCCTCTCTGATGGTGTCCTCCAAGGTTCGGTCCTTGGTTCCCTACTGTTCTCAATCTATACTGCCTCCCTTGGTAAACTCATTAGCTCCTTTGGCTACCAGTATCACTTCTATCACTCCCCTGATCTCACCCCACCCCTAGTATCTCTGACTGGATGGCTGCCCGCTTCCTTAAGATCAACTTGTCAAAGACAGAACTTCTTGTCTTTCCTCCCTCAAGTGTTGCTACTCCCGTTTCTGTCTCCCTCAAATTTAATGGTGCTACCATCAGCTCCACCACGCAAGCTCGCTGCCTAGGTGTTCTTTGACTCCGACCTCTCCTTCACCCCTCATGTCCAGTCGATCTCCAAATCCTGTCGCTTCCATCTCAAAAACAAATATGTCCCGCCTAGGCCCTTACACTCTGCCAAAGACCTACGTCTATCCTCTGTTCGTACTCCCACTTCTGATGCTTGCCTTCAAGACTTCTCTAGGGCTGCACCGTTCCTGTGAAACTCCCTTCCCTTTTCCGTTAGATGCTCACCCAGTCTCCACTCCTTCAAAAAATCATTAAAAACTCACTCACTGAACTCAATGAAACTGTTAATGGCTCCCAACTGATTCCTCTCCTGCAACTGTATATATATATATATAAAAAAAAAAAAAAAACAACAACAACAAAAAAAAAAACACTGTGAATATTATTAAATTATTATTTATGGCACCATCAGATTCCGTAGCGCTGTACAATGGGGTTAAACTTCCCTTACCTCACTCCCTCTAGTATGTTTGGTAGTATAGTCTAAATTCATTGGATAACATGAAGGCAATCACAGTCTCCAATCCTCGGGTGTTTCTCTGTTGCTGGCAAGCGATGTAAAAGTTAACTGTGACTGTCTGCTGGAGGTAGTAAGAAGGTTTCCGTTGCTACACTCTCTCCATGCTAGTTTGTTGTCCCCTCCCCCTCTCTATCTTCCCTTTTTTATTTAAATATGTGCCTTCTTTGCTATCTTCCAATGATGCAGCAGCTGGTAATTCACTAAAAGCTACTGCTTTTGCACTTTGTCTGCTGCCAGCTAAGGATTGAACAGTGCAAAACTGCCCACTCACACTCCCCTTTTCCACTTTCTTTTCTATTTAAGAATATATAAAAATTTTTTAAAAAGCAGCAATCACTAACAGCACATCATAGATAATGTTTTTAAATTAAAATTTTGCACAAAATGCACACAATCTCTCACAATAGAGGGGGGAAAAAAAAAAGCTACCATACCACATCTATTACCATCCGTGCAACCACAACACAACAATCGTTTTACCATTTTACACACATCTCTAGATGGTCAGTGTGTACATACAGTACAGTGAAGCACACAATCCAAAGTCCACAAGATCACATATTCACTGACCCATCTAAACAAAAAATGAAGACGAAAATTGATGGAGATGGAACAGGACTATAACCTTAACTGGAAGAAGATGAAGACGATCAACCAGGAACCTAGCCAACAATTCGACTACAGCAGATTGACCCTGCTGCTGTGCAATAAACATTTATGTGACTTCTAAAAGGCACGTTTGGACCAGACTGGTTTAATAGTTATGAGGTAAACACAACCTACATGTATCTGTTTTTGCTTCTGTTTTGTGCAACAATAAAATATTTACTTTTTCAAAACGTCAGGTATGTGGTATGAATCAAATGGTAAAAAGCCCAATAAAATTAAACTTGTTACAGATTGTAACACAACACAAAGTAGCAATATCCGAGGGGGTGAATATTATATTTTGTTGAGGGATAACTGTTGTGCCAAATTATCAACAATATATTTGATTGTTTTTTTTTCCCCATACATGCAGCATACGGTTTTAACATTCTGCATTTATATAAAGGGCAAAAAATCTGGTGTGTCCAAATCAATCAGTCCTAATAGTAAAAAAATAAATAATAATTTGACAAAACTAATTTTGTGCATTGAACCATTTGGCTAGTCAGAATTTCTGTTTGGTTTTTGATTGAGATGCCTCTACTACCTCAACAAGTCAGACCTGCTGTATGTTGGGCATTGGTCAACTCCTATGAGAGCTGGAAGTGCTCTATTCCTCATAACAGGAACACTATAGGGTCAGGAACACAAACATGTATTCCTGACCCTATAGTGTTATACCCACCATATAGGTGACTTGCTGCCCCCCTCTCCCCCCCCAAGCCACCTTAAAAGAAATTAAAACTCATCTTGTTCCAGCACCGAGCGGGTCTGCTGGTGCTGGCCCCGCCCCCAATCCGCCTCCTTGATGACATCAAAATTGCCGACTTTTTTTGCCCATCCAATGCTTTCCCATAGGAAAGCATTTGATTGGCTAAAATTGGCAAGGAGGCAGGATGGGGCAGGCCCAAGCTGTTTTGGCCAATCAGCACTTCAAAGAGATGCATTGAATCAACGCATCTCTATGTGGAAAATTCAGCGTCCCCATGCAGAGCTTGGAGACGCTGAACAGCAGTGCTGCCTACTGTGCAGCACTGCCTCAGGAATCATCTCCAGTGGCCATCTGAGGAGTCGCCACTTGGAGGTGTCCCTGGGAGCAATGTAAACACTGCCTTTTCTCTGAAAATGCAGTGTTTGCATGAAAATGCTTGAAGGCAATTATACTCACCAGAACAACTACATTAAGCTGTAGTTGTTGTGGTGACTGTAGTGTCCCTTTAAGCATAGCCTGGTAGTGCAGAGCTTAACTATTTAGTAGTTTGAGTCTAGCGACCTAGTGGAAGCTACATGCAGAAGCTTGCAGCCAATTTCGTTACCAGGGGCCATGTATGGCACTGGTCACTGCTACTAGTGTGTAGTGTACTACTACACACATTAAGTAAGTAGTGCCCTTCTGGATACTGTTTAAAACCGTTGGCAAACAACTTAACAGCTACTTACATTGGTGGGGTGCATGGGCACCTGTTGTGGCTGAGGTGCCAAGAGTTTTTTTTTTGACAACACAATCAAGTCATTTCATTCACTGCTTATACAGTCTCCAATTATTGAACAATATTGCACCACTGTCACCAGGAATTATGCCATCTATAGAGACACTCAAAAACTTCCATATACATCATTAAAAAAAAACATCACAGTCTACAAGATTTATGAAACTTTTAAAAATTAACACATGAAAATGTGATGACAGATTGTAACTTGGCAGCTATCCCACAGAAGCAGGAGTAGGCTAAAACCCTGTAAGTTTACCCCCACTCTGGTTAGGCTTTGAGTGGACATATCTTAAACAAACACAGAACAAAATCAAAACATAAAATAGGACTTGAAAAAGGGATTTATTATGTCAAAATAAAAACCACGAGAAAACTAACGGTACTTTTTTTTTTTTTATTTCTTCAGACAATGTATTTTTAACCAAACTAATCAAATCATTTCCACGCTCCCTATGAGTGACAATAAGAGCAAAAAAACTGCCATCAGGTATGACTTCCAATACTGAGTAAAACATTAATGTTTATTAATATAAAAATATTAATAAGCCAAGTAAAACCACAATGTCAATCCATAAAAATGCTACCAATATGCGATTAAAAGTGCATGCTTAAAGAAGAAAAAACTAATCAAAAAACAGTATTTTACTCACTGCAAATGTACTTTTCCATAGGAATAGCTGCAGTAGTAACAAGTGGGTTTTACAACTGTTCTACAGGAAGGCCAAGCAGAACCTAGAATATTTGGTAATAATATACTCCACCACCATCTCTACCTCCAGATACCATAAGACCGTACCAGACTCCAAACTCCCCAGAATAGTAACACGACCCATTATTTGCAAAAGTACAAGATTTATTATAAGGAAGGGAATCTATACTGCAGCTAATCCTATGGAAAAGGAAATGTACAGCGTGTAAATTTCCTTTTCCATACAGATAGCAGCAGTAGTAACAAGTGGGATGTAAGGAGATAAAACAAATCAGTGGGTATAATTTATATACTACATCTTGGCGCTCAATCAATTTGCGCAACCACAGTCGCACTCCTTGATCGCCAGAAAAAGCAACCTGTGGGTGTGTTCCACCACTATGCCTAGCGCACATCCTCACACGTGCTTAAACCATTTCAAAACCCGGTTCGGCTAGGCGGAAGGAAGCAGCAGAAACTATGTCTGCATGGTGGGCAATCCCAGAGAACCGAGGCGGTCTGCCTGCAGCAGAACTCTCGAATGCAACCCAGCACTTCCAACACTACTGTATGAAAATAAAGTGAATGCTCTGCTTATCCTGTTCCTAAGAGGGAAGAGTTTGGGGCTCGGTACTGTTTTACAGTAGCCAGAGACCGAGGTAGGGATGGGGTATCTTATTACTAATAATTTTAATAGTTTAGGATCAACCGGTCCTTCCTGAGAAACCCTTTCAAAACCCACTTGTTATTACTGATGGCATCCTTATGGAAAAAATATATCTGCATTTGAGGATAATTAATTTACAGCTTAAAACTGATCTGTCACTTTTCAGTATTTCATTAAAATATATTCTTTATGAAATACTGATCAAGACTGTGTTGAAATTTCACTGAAATTCCAATGCAATCCAAAAATACCATAAGACAAAGTAGGGACTGCTTTGTTATATGAACAAGCATCAGGTTAACAAAAGTTGAAAAAAGTCAGAGCTTGACGGTCAACTCTTGTCCAATTCCAGAAGCTGTCACAAATGAGGGCTGTGGGATTCAGGCTCTGTCTATGCAGGATCTCGCTGTCTCCTCCATAGACCTCAGTGTTGTACTCTCGTGGCTCCTAGCACCTGAAGTGCCAGGAGCCAAAGAGGACCTCCAGCAAAAGGATGGCGGTGGCCACAAGGGACAGCCTGAAGTAAGTAAAATCCACTTTCCCATAGCCACTAAACCCACACTGGATCTGTCTGTTTTGGGGGTCTTTGCGAAATATGCAAATACCCCCTGAAACAGACAGATCCGCTTTAAGTCCTCCTTCAGGAAATAACATTGTTATGAAATGCTTTAACAGTGAAGAGGGGAATGTGAATATCATTCAGAAACAAACATAAGGGGCCTGTAGCTAAAGTAGAACTTCTACGAAAATAATAATATGGGGTACTTCACATTTGACTTCCGAAGCTAACTAAATCTGAATATGGGTACAAGGTAGTCAACAAATGTATATATTAGGTAAAAAGCATTTTCATGCAAGTTCTATAGTTATAAGAGCTCCAGTCTGTGATATTACTGTATTATAAATCAGTTGGTAGGCTATTCAGAGGCAGTTCCAGCAGGACATCAATTTAAATAGGTTGTGTAGGTAAGACAGCATTTGTTCCAATAACTTAGCGTAATTGATAAGTGTTGCACAGTGTCTTCACTGGATGATTATACATTACCTGTTCAGTCTAATAAAATATTGAATAAATCAGGGGTGGCCAACAGGATGATCAGAATCATTGCTGCTAAAGTACAGCTCAGTGTTATGCTATACAGATTATAAAATAGGATAGCTCAGCTACTTCTTAAGTGAATAGAACATTTTTGTATCTCATCTTCTTGTTTGAATGTTTTAAATAAGTGCATGTTAATGTGTTATATAGGTCATAATGTGTTGGCATTATCCTCTTTGGAGCCAGAAAGATCTGCTGTCTCCTACACAACTATGTGTGACTTTCACAAGTTACTTCTCACAGTGACAGAACTAGACTGAATATACATATACTTTTCATTATAACAAGACAATGAATTTACCATTATGCGATTAATCTCCCACTACGTCCTATTTATTTTTAAGTATGGTACATGCATTTAAGATTTGGAGAAGTTTTCATATAGGTTTCTAAATATGGTAAAGTCTTTCTACACAGGAACAACGTTTGAAAAAGTAGCCAATATAAATATGCTGTGCCTTAGCATGTATAATATACAAAGTGCATATTAAATAATGTACAGTAGAGTAAACTAAATAGAAACATTATACACTTCACACATAAGCCAACTGCTCCCTGTGGATTTTCTTATGTACAGTAAGTGTTGATTTCTGAGAAAAGCTTTTTCCACATTCAATACACTCGTATGGTTTTTCTCCAAGATGAGTTCTCTGATGCTGGGAAAGAGCAGTATACCAAGTAAAGTTTTTCCCACACTCTGTGCATTCGTATGGTCGTTTGCCGGTATGTATAATCTGATGCTGATTGAGATGTGCCTTCATTGCAAAACGTTTATCACAGGTTAGGCAAGTGTAAGGCTTTTCTCCAGTGTGTTTTCTCCGATGGCTCACCAGATGAGAGCTGTCTGTGAAGGTTTTTCCACAATCAGTACATGCATATGGCCTTTCTCCTGTGTGAATCCTCATGTGCCTCAGTAGGTGTGTGCTGCCTTTAAAGCTTTTCCCGCACTTGTTGCAAACATATGGTCTCTCTCCAGTGTGGGTCCTTCTATGCAGTATGAGTCCTGCATTGTAAGTGAAGCTTTTACCGCACTCATTGCAGGTATAAGGTTTCTCCCCTGTGTGTGTTCGCTGATGGTTAATCAAATGAGAGCTGTCTGTGAAGCGCTTTCCACATTCTGTGCAGGTGTATGGTTTCTCTCCAGTGTGAGTTCGTATGTGCCTCACCAAATGTGAGCTATGATTGAAGCTTTTCTCACACTTATCACAGCTATATGGCCTTTCTCCTGAATGTATTCTTCGATGTTGACGAAGGGCTGACTTGTGAGTAAATCTTTTCTCACATTCTGTACAAGGGTACAATCTTTCTCCTGTGTGAATTCTCTTGTGTTGAACTAGGTCAGAGCCACGGATGAAACTTTTTCCACACTCAGGGCATATATATGGCCTCTCCCCTGTATGAATTCTACGATGCTGAACAAGATGTGAGCTCAAACTAAATGTTCTATTACAGTCAGAGCAGACATAGGGTCTCTCACCTGTGTGAGTTCGTTGGTGTTCAATTAGCTGAGATTTTTGAACAAAGTGTTTCCCACACTCTGTACATAAATGGGGTTTCACTCCTGAGTGTGCTCTTTGATGTCTTCGAAGCACTGAGTTACGGCCAAAACTTTTTCCACATTGATCACACACATAATGCTTTTTTCTCTTTTTCAAAATAGCCTTTCTTTTTACAACTAATTCAACAGGACTTTCATAATCGTCACTTTCTGGACTTTCATCATCAGATGCATCTTTCGGTATAATAAAACACTTTCTTTCACGTAACCTTCTAGTACTTATTTTAACATCACACAAACTTTGTTCATTTATTGGGTTCACGGACGGTTTATCATTTGTAACCTTCGCTTTGCTCTGTTCCTCTTTCAGAACATGTTGAGGCATCCCAAAATCTTCTAAAACTAAAGATGGGGAGACAGGGACTGCAGAGGATTCTTTTCTCATGCTCCTCAGCATAGAAACATATTCTGCTGTAAAGTAAAGAAAATATGAATCTGATGAATAAAAAGTCAAAGTCACTTTAATACAAGCATTGTAAACATCATCGGATTCAAAACCAAACATGTACTGTATTGTTACAATACACAAGCTGATTCCTGAAAACAAACCAATTTGTTATTTCTATACAGGCATAAGTGAATAGATACTATAGGCACTAAAACAACTTTAGCTTGATGAAGCAGTTTTATTGCATGGATCACTGCAGTTTTACTGCTTAATCATATGCCACTTAGGAGTTAAATCACTTATTTCTGTTTATGCAGCCCTAGCAATACAGCTCTTAATGTGACTCACACAGCCTGCATTAAAAAAAAAATGGTTTCATTTTCAATCAGATCACTTGCTTCAGAAGCTTTTATTTCCTGCTCTGTAAATTGAATTTTAATCACACACAGGAGGCGTCTGCAGGATCTAGAGGGCAAGTAAAAGAGCATTAAGATATTCTAAATTAAACAGCATGTGCAATAAAGAAACTTTAGATCTCTTATTAGATCTCTTTACAGTAAGTGTTTTGGAAGATTGTGCTAGATAAACACAGCCAGGGGCGGTGTGATCTGGCTGTAAAAACAAAGCAATTTAACTCCTAAATGGCAGAGAATTGAGCAGGGAGACTGCAGGGGCATGATCTATATACCAAAACTGTATCATTAAGCTAAACATTGTTTTGGGGCCTATAGTATCCCTTTAAGTAGTAAATTGAGGATATACTAAAACAAAAATAATAGTGATTAAATGGAAAGAAATTTCTTCCTCAGAATTCTATTCATAGTAACTAGTTGCATTAGGTGTGAATGCCCACGAATTAGAATTTATAATGCATTTAACATTCACAATACTTGTTCATTTACAAGGGGAAGCTAATTTGACATTATGGATTCCAAGTAACATTGCCAGCCCCAGAAAGTCTAAATTTAATGTTTATTTAATATAATTGAACAAATTACATCAAATCTCATTAACAAAGTTCTAATGAATTGATCTCTGCTTGCACATAAACCTTGGTTGTTGTAGTGGCATTCCCCACTAAATGCCTTTAATTACAAAAGACTGCATTCAGCACTTGCACAATGTGCATGTTGATATCAAATGTAAATTTTGGACAGAAATGATATACCTCAGAATGGTAATTACATTGTGGTTATGAGAATGACAGGTATGGAAAGTGGAATCACGAGAAAGGATCTTTGCACCATACGCACTTGAGTAAGCTGAAGTGGTTTTGTTGTCTATGAGAGGGGGAAGAGGGGGAGAGGAGGAGAGATCTGACTTTAACTGTGCTCTCACTACTGCAAGGGATTCTGGGTAGGCGTATGCAAATGAGCTAAACAAAGAACCACATTTGTGCTCCCTAATTCCACTTTATACATGAATTCCTTGGAGTACTGAATTAACTACATCCACATACTCCAAGGAATCCATGTATAAAGTGGAATTATGAGGCAAAAAGGTGGTTCTTTGTTGAGCTAATTTGCATATATCTACCCAGTGTATTGCACATGTAATGTAGCAATCTAAGGCAATTTCACCTCCAACAGGGTTATTTGCTGTTTGTGCAGCAAATCTACTTTCATTCATTAATACCCCACCCCTGGGCAGTGGGGTGGGGTATTAATATAACGGGAATAAGAAGGGACCTTACATGAGTCTTGGGGTGCTCCCTTACACCCTGTCACCACTGCCCAATATCTATATAGGGGTTAAGAAAATGAGCCGTGGGGTGGGATCTGTAAGTAAAACAGATGGGGCCATGCCATTGTTACCCCCTTATAGAGATCACACATGGACATTGTTTGGCAAGTATAAAAGTATTGGCTGCTCATGTTGTTGTTCACCCCCTTATGCATGTCCACTCATGGACAGCAGGGGGAGGCCAATATTCTGCCTGAGCAAGGGATAATGCTCTTTAATTCACTTACATTTACCAATGTGATATTAAAGGGACACTATCAGCACCCAGGTTACTTCAGCTCATTAAAGTGGTCTGGGTGTAATGTCCCATCACCCTTTACCCTGAGCATGTAATTATTGCAGTTTTTATAAACTGCAATAATTACCTGCTAGGGTTAACTCCTCCTCTAGTGGCCATCTACCAGACAGCCACTGGAGGGACTTCCGGGCTCAAAGGCAACTTTTGGTCACCTAAATGACGCTAGACATCCTCACGCTATGTATAAGGACTTCCAGCGTCACCGGAATCCCCACCCATGGGAATCCCCTTCCGAACCACAGGGGAGGGGGGCCTTGACAGATGGGTAAGCTACAGTGCCAGGAAAACAAGTTTGCTTTCTTGGCACTATATTTTCCCTTTAATGTAATTATCAATAAAATCTGTACCTCAGCGCTGACAGCTATTTTAAAATGTTAGCTCATTTTCGGATACTTGCGTTTAAAATGGAGTTTGCAGATGAGTGCACATCATTAGGCCTCTAAATGTTTTAGCAATACCAAAATACAAAAGGTACACATAAGACATGAATAAACTTACTTGGTGAAGAATTTGATTGGCTCATATAAGAGTCCTTGCCTTGCTCAATCTTCAATATAATTTTTGGCTTTACACATGCACAGCCTGTCAAACAAAGAAGTGTTTTAATATTCATGAACTCTACGCATGTGTGTGTCATAATTAGGGCTCAAAAGTTCAAGTATTACATTACTAGCCAGGTCTTAAGGAAACATCGCACACACTGAAAATTTTTAATTATCTGGAGATTTATAGATACAATAATGAGCATTGTGATAATTCCTGAAAAGTGAGTGACTAAGTGCAGATTTTACACACCAAGCTAACAAAAAAAACTATTATGTAATCCCCCTTTTGTTAAAGACTTTAAAAGGGAAATGTCATATTTCTGAATTTGACACTACTAAATAAAACCTTAAAAAAAAAAACACTTGTGTTAACCTTCTTTTCATGAGATGCTCCAGTTTTTTTCTTTGTTTGTTTTTATCTTGGAGGAACCCAGAACACTTCTGGCACCATAACCACTTCACATGGCTGTAGTGGTTATGGTGCCTGAACTGCGTATTTAAAGTTTTAACAATAATAATAATAATAATAATAATAATAATAATAATCATCCAGTTCAGACAAGGCAAAGCTAAAATCAAAGATTGCCAATAAAGAGGAGAAATATAAATGTTTAATTTCTCCTTTTGTCATTCACTGTGTTGGCTTCCAGGTGCGGATTTCTACATTTAATTTTAATAACAAATGCTTATTAAAAATTATGAGAAATGACGTCTCCCTTTTAAGGCAGAACAAAGCAATGTAATGTAACAGTTTTTTTTAATCTGAGGTCATCAGAGTTCTGAATGAAATCATGTCTGGAGCAGATTAAATACAATTTACACAAAAGGTCCATAGAGACATAAAATAGACTTACAAGGTCCAAAAAAACAACTTTGTAATGTCTGGAAGATACATGGTTGTCCAGTAATCTCTATATTAATATTCATATTTCAGTTAAAGTGCTCCTTACCCACTGAGTTAAGAGTTTGATAATTTTCCATCATGACATCTCTGTAAAGACCCTTTTGTGCCTCTTCCAAGGTATCCCACTCATCTTCACTGAAATAAACAGCCACATCATCAAACCTTATTGGATCCTGAAATAGAAAACATTAAGTTTAATTGATGTACATACACTCTCTTTACAATCTAAATTAATTTAAAATCACACAGACTGTGCATTTTTTGGCCAGTGTGGTACAGCAGGATTAGTATGTGATGTAGATACTGTGAGTCTGTTAGCAGAGGTATCAACTACAAAAGACATTTTATCCGAACCTGGTGGAAGCCTTGTCGGACTTAAAATTATTATTTTTTTTATTTTTTTTAAGTGTTTTATTGGCTCTTCTCTTTAAGGATAACCGTAGTTATCCCAACTCTTCCCCTACTCTTGTAATGATGGGTCTCTGGTGACTGCTGAGGAAGCTGTGAAGATAGCAAACTAAGCGGATGCATACGTTTAGCAACATTTTCAAAAAAATCATCAATTTTCTGATAATGCTTAGTTTGCTCTGTTTGGCTGTCTGACTACGACTTGTCAAAATGTTTCACTCCTAAAATGTACAATGCCAGCATACAGTTACTCTACACCAGGCCAACTAGTTGACAGAGTTACTCTGGTACCATTATCTAGGTAGGAATTCTTCCATTGAATAGTAAGCCTCTGGGCTTGATGGGTATACTGAATTGAGGTGATTCATTATGCCTGGGCCTGCCCTTCTATACAGTGAAGTCAGGTTCTTACTTATTATGATCCAATCTGGTCACTCCTGCTACCCATCACTGGTGCGTGCCCCCCAGCAGTTAAGTGTCTATTGTGAGCATCAGGCACCACCAAAAATCATGGTGCTTGCCTTAATTTCCCTCTTACCTCCCAAATTCCAAAAGGGATGGTGGCAGGTAGGTAAGCACCATGCTAAACTCATCAAAAGCACCAGACAGACATCCTGGCCACTTAAGCATGAAGAGGACACTGCCTGGTCCCAATGCCATCATAACCAAATTATACTTTATACAAAAAAAAAAAAAAATTGTATTTAGCTAAGATATATATAATATATATTCTATTTATAGTTGCATTGTAAGCGCTACGGAATTTGCTGGCGCTATATAAGTAATAATAATAATTGTGTGTACCTTTTTCAAAGATCAAATGTAATCCGTTTGCGACATCTAGTGACTAAACTGTGTATTACACATGTAATGTAGCAATCTAATGCAATTTCACCTACAACAGTGTTATTTGCTGTGCGTGGGGCATATCTACTTTCAATACCCCCTACCATGGGCAATGGGATTGGTATTAATATAATGTAATAATGTGTCTTTGGGTGCTCCTTTACACCCCCTCCACACTTCCCAACAGCAATAGGGGTTATCAAAATGAGCTGTGTGATGGGGTCTGTAAGTAAAAAAAGGAAGGGGGCTGCATTGTTATAGAGTGGTCATGCCATAGCTCCCCCCCTTACAGAGATCACACATGGATATTGGTTGTATAGTGTAAAAGTAATGGCTGCTCATGTTGTTATCAACCTCCTTGTGCATGTTCACTCATGGACAGTAGGGGGAGACTGAGAACCCCTCCTAAAATCAATCATGATGATCTCTGTCAATTCAATGCTTGCCTATTTGGAGGCTAAAGCTCATGAGAGGCAAATCACAGCACTGCACCACTCAGCAGAGGAATGGGGTCAATGCATCCCTATGGTGAGATTTCAGTGTTTCCAAACAGGGCATGCAGACACACCTTTAAAGCCACTAGAGCGACATCCTGGTTCGGTCTTGCAGAGATTGCAGGACCGAACCAGGATGTCGCTCTAGTGGCTGAATGACAGCCACAATAGGAGGACTTAGACATCAGTGTTTACACTGCTGCCTATCAGAAAAGGCAGCATTTACACTGCTGAGCCTGTAGGGACAGGTTATATGCCCCAGAACCAATACACTAAGCTGTAGTGGTTCTGGTAACTATAGTGGCCCTTTAAAGGTAAGAGACATATAGACTTACATTTCTTTCTATTGGGAACACATTTAAGCAACTAAGAGGATCAGGGTCTGCATATAAGATTCTGTCTTAAATAGAGCATGGCAGAAACAGGGTTTTCACTGTCATGTGGACATCTGGTTCCTGGGTTAAAGGAGCACAGAACCAGAGTCCCTATCATCAGGGCATGGTACAGTCTCACTGAGCTGTGGTTTACCTACTTCTGAGCAGTGTGGCTTGCGCAATAATGATACTTGATCTCACATTCTAGACATTTTTTTTATGCAAATCCAAAAACATGGGTGATAGGTATAGAGCAGTGTTTCCCAAACTTTTTAGGTTCAAGGCGCCCTTAATATTTCAATATTTTTCCAAGGCACCCCAAGTCAAAATTTTTTTCTAGGTTATATATATATGTACAGCGCTGCGGCATGTTCTGGGCCCCCAATCCTGGGAGTTGCACTGGTAAATTATTTAAAGAAATAATCTAGGCACAATAACCACTACATTGCGTTGTAGTTGTTATGGTGCAGTAGTGCCCTCCCAGGGTAAGTGGTAAAACTGTTTAAGAACAGTTTGACAACTTGCCTGGGTTCTGCCCGGATAGGGGGTGCATTGTGTTTGTGTGTTTGAGGGGTGCAATATGTGTGTGTGTGTGTGTGTACAGGGGTGCAGTGTTTTTGTGAAGGATGTAGTTTGTGTGTGTGTGTGTGTGTGTGTGTGTGTAGTGTGTCTTTGTGGGGCAGTTTGTGTGTTTGTGTACACATTTTATGTGTGGGGTTGTACAGTATGTGGGGAGCAGTTTGTGTGTGTGTGTGTGTGTATGGGGGAGCAATTGTGTGCATGGGGGGGGAGTTATTGTTTGGTGTAGGGTCTGTGGGGGTAGTAGGGCAAATAAAATATATACTTTTTTTTTTTTTTTTGTATTAAAAATAAAATTTTTATCCCCCCGCCCTGCTTACCTTAGCCTGGGAGGGGGGACATTTCCTGCAATCCCTGGTGGTCCGGTGGGGAGCCCTGGTGGTCCCAGTGGAGAGAGTGAACTCTACAGCCTCAGGAGCTGCTAGAGTTCACTCTTGCGAGATTCGGAGCGTTCCCGTGGTAACCACGGCAACGATCTGAGCTCGCAAGAGGAGAACCCAGCGGAGCTGCATGTTAGAGTCCCCCCGGGTCCTCTCACCCTCCTGCCGGCTGTCAGCAAAGTGGGAACCGCTGGTATAGAGAGTACTAGAAAAAAGTGCTGAAATGGTAGAGAAAGGGGTGGGAATGCTTAATCAAGCAGAACCCTGCATGTATTAATATACTGACACACTGCTTCTGCAGACACATTGTGAATAATAAATAAAATGCTGCTTATGCATATCTGTAGGGCGAGTAACTTTTGTTATTCTTAGCATTACTAGCATTTATAAAGTGGCAACATATTTTGCAGTACTTTACAACTGGGGAAAAAGACTACAATAAACACAAACAAATACAAAAGATAAATAGGGCAAGCTAAGATCTAGCCACTGATGCGCTTTCATACAAAACCCTTAGTTAGAGAGCCTGAGACGTTACACTTTAAAGGCCTGGTCCATTGCTTTTGACTGGGAATTCAACTCATTTAGTTTAATGGCAGCCAATGAGATTTGCGGGCTGTTTGTTTTTTTGTTTGTTTGTTTGGTTTTTTTTTTTTTACAAATCTTACCTTTCCTGAAGCTTTTTTGTTTTTGCTTCCTTTTGGTCTTCCTCTGGGTCGTTTAAGAGGGGGTGGATCCTAAAGACAAAATATGAATACAGTATGAATCTGGAAAGCATTGTTTCATTTCATTCTTTTATGAAGTTTTCCCAAGAAATTTCCTATGCCATTTCTTTGTACAAATGTTTTCAAGAAGCTATAGTCAGCAGAACAACTACAGCTTAATGTGTATTCAGTCCCTGCAGTGCAGTCTTTTTGCTGAAAAGGCAGGGTTTACATTAGAACAACAAAACAGAAATAAGTGCTCGCTCTCGGATACAAGCTGCAATTCACCAACAAGGTGTTCCCCCAACCTCATGTAATTTTTGACATTAGCGCTGTTCACCTTATATTTACCTCGAGGGTTTATATTAGTGCCTAGGAACACCTCTAGTGGCCGCCACTCAGAAGGCCATTAGCAGGAGCTTCATGGGGCAGTGGTGTACTGACGTTGAGCAGAGACGCTAAACTTTCCCCATGGACATGTATTGACTCAATGCATTTGTATGAACAATGGTGATTGGCCAGGGTGGCATTTTGTTCCGGCCCCAGCCTGCCTACTTTGCTGAGATCCTCGGAATCGACAATCAATTCTGATTATGTAAGGGGGGGACTGAAGATGCTGGAAATAAGGTGTTATTACTATATGTACGGGAGGCTAAATAGTGTTTGTAACACTATAAGTTCAGGAATATACGATTGTGTTCCTGGCCCTATAGTAAGTTTTGTTTTTTTAGTGATAGAGCTGCTTTGATTAAGAAAATCTTTTATAGGTTATGTGAAGATGTCTGTTTGAGTTAACGATATTTAGTCGCTTAGAATGAGGCAGTGAGTTGCACGAGGCATCCGCCATCTTGGTCTTGGCGGGTGGGTAGTCCCAAGTGTATAGTAGCAGGAGCTTCGCTAGTGAGACACCGTTGAAAGTTGCCAGGATAACCCCCACTGGCTGGGGGGGAGAGAGTGTGCAGGATGGTCTTCCCGGGTAAGTGCTCAATAGCAGGCGGAGGGATCAGCCGCCTCCCTCACGTGCGCTGCAATTAAGCCTCTTACAGGCCGCTGACTCTCCTCCGCGGTTACCCACCGGTCATGGCTGGACACACCACTGGTTTGAGAGCTAGGGATGTCTCCCAATATTGTGGTGTCGAGGGATCTAAGTTTTGGGTCGCGGAGTCACTTTTATCTCTTATTTAGGAGCCAGATAGCACGGAGCTCTCAGTGTGTGCGACCGTTCCATGCGGCTGCCAGGCTCCGCCCCAAGTTAACGATATTTACACTCATTCTGCAGATTTTGAACGGAAAGATGCATGCACATACACAAATCCTTATCACAAACACAGCTACACACTCGCACTTAAAAGAAAACCAATACACACAAACAATTTTACACTTCCATACACAGCTACACATACTTAACACCATGTTTCCCTGCAAATAAGACATCCTGTGAAAATAAGCCCTAGCTTATTTTCAGTGGATACTCGTTATATATGCCCTACCCCTAAAATAAGCCCTAGTCACTTGTCGCTAGTTCGCTAATCTATGTTCGGGGAATGTTCCCCAAACACAGATTCACGGGATTCCATTCGCAAGTAAAATAATCTATGGTCAGGGAAATTTCACAGGATTCCATGCCCTAGTGCCCCCGAATGTAGACCTGCTTTCTAGCACATGCTTGCTAGTGTATTTCCCTGAAATAAGACGAAAATAAGCCCTAGTGCAATTTAATATAAGACCTGGTCTTATTTTCAGGGAAAGACGGTAGATGTTCCCCCAGCTATAGATGGCGGCCATTTCCCTGTGCTATGTGCATCAGCCTGCTTCATCAAATTAAATTCTGGCATGTAACTGGCGAATTTCAGAATTTTCCCCATGATGCTGGCAGGAGCACGCAACCTATACAAACACTGCTCCCCACCATCCTCAACTTCACCAAATAAGGGCCAGCAAATCCGTGATGCAAGACAGTTATGCCCACACTTTTTATTTATTTTTTTTAAATCATATATATATATATATATATATATATATATATATATATATATATATATATATACTCGTGTATAAGTCGATCTCATGTATAAGTCGAGTGCAGTTTTGTGACCAACAATTGTGAAATATGCTATGCCTCGTGGATAAGTCGAGGGTAAATCTTGGGGCTATGAAATTCTGTGATTTTTATAATTATATACACACACACTCATACAAACAAACACTCTGCATTATATATACACACACTCATACAAACAATCTGCATTATATACACACACACACTCATACAAACACACACTCTGCATTATATACACACACACACACACTCATACAAACACACACTGCATTATATACACACACACTGTGTATATAATGCAGAGTGTGTATATAATGCAGAGTGTGTATATAATGCAGAGTGTGTATATAATGCAGAGTGTGTATATAATGCAGAGTGTGTATATAATGCAGAGTGTGTGTTTGTGTAGTGTGTGTGAACTAGGTGGGGGAAGGGAATTTTTATTATTTTAATTTTAATATTATTTTTTTTATTATTTTAATTTTTTTTGTCCCCCCTCCCTGCTTGTTAACTGGTCAGGGAGGGGGGCTATCTTAATCCCTGGTGGTCCAGTGGCATGGGCTGTGAAGTGGGGGGGCGGCAGGAAGCATTTACTTACCTTTCCTGCAGCTCCTGTCAGCTCCCTTCTCCTCCGTTCCGGTCAGCTCCACTGTAAGTCTCGCGGTCTGGTTGCCACGCGGATCATTGCCATTGCTCTGACGGCCGCGGCTCTCTAAGTTGCCATAATACAGACCGTGACTCGAGTATAAGTCGAGTGGGGGTTTTTAAGCACAAAAAATGTGCTGAAAAACTAGACTTATACTCGAGTATATACTGTATATATATATATATATATATATATATATATATATTTTTTTTTTTATTTTTTTTTTTTAAATGGTCATAGACAACAACAAACATGTGTCAATGAGTTATGCCCAAACTTGGATGTACCTCTATATTCTGGGATAGTAGGTCATAGGCCACATTAAATAGGTAAAGTCATTTCCAAGGATTTTTAATATTAGGTCTACTTATATTTAACAAATATGTATTTGAGAGGTGTGAAAAATAATATTAAAGGATCACTATAGGGTCAGGAACACAAACACGTATTCCTGACCCTATAGTGTTAACACCACCATCTAGCCCCCCTGGGCCCCTCATGCCTCCATAAGTATAGTAAAAATCTTACTGTATTCAAGCCAGAAGCTGTAAATCTGCATGCTGTTAGACTCAGAAAAAACAAGCAGTCTGCTGACATGTGGTAGCCTGATCCAATCACAGTGCTTCCCCATAGGATTGGCTGAGACTAACAAAGAGGCAGATCAGGGGCAGAGCCAGCATGATTTAAACACAGCCCTGGCCAATCAGCATCTCCTCATAGAGATGAATTGAATCAATGAATCTCTATGAGGAAAGTTCAGTGTCTGCATGCAGAGGGAGGAGACACTGAATCACAGGATGCTATGCACAGTGCTGCCGTGTGCTCTGCTGACAGCAAATCTGAGTGGATGGAGGCATATTATGCCTCCATCAACTACGAAGTCCCTCTGGTTCACTCTGAATGACTGCAACTGGAGGTGTTCCTAGCTTTCAATGTAAACACTGTATTTTCTCAGAAGATACAGTGTTTACATGAGAAAGGCTGCAGGGAGCTATAGTTCTCACCTGAACAACCTCATTAAACTAAAGTTGTTCAGGTGACTATAGTGTCCCTTTAATGATGGATGACCACACAACTTCCTGCAACTAGACTCCATGACAATCAATCGTAAACTCTGTCCTTTGTACATGACAGTCAGCATTGAGAAAAAAAAAAAAAAAAAGTTTCTCTTTCTCCTCTCCATTGGGAAATGAGAGCAAAAAACACTGCATTTGGAAATGACAAAGTGGAAAATACAGGCCTGATTCCCTGTACCTTGAGGCTAACAATGCATTTGCCCTGGGTGTCACTTTCCAGAGGGGCAGCAAAAAAAAAACCCCCCCCCAAAAAAAAACCACAGTTCCCAAATGCCTGGCAGATGCCTTGCTGACCTTGTGTAATGAGGGGCTGAGAGCTAGCCGGCAGGCAGCCATTTGTATTCCAGTGCTCTTCTTGCTTTGCTCCAACGCGCGCCCTGGCCGGGAGCCAGAATATGACATCACTGCAGCCCCGGTATCACTAAAGAGTCTAACGATGAAGCAGAACAAGAAGATTATGTCTCCCTCGCCGCCTCCATTGACCGCCAACCAGCAGCCGCACTGGACCCCAGGGAAAGAATTCACTCCAGTTCTCCCAAAGATAATTTGTAAGTGTATCTGTGAATGTGGTGTGTGCCTGTCTTTCTGTCAATTAATGTGTGTTTGTGAATATATGTGTGTGTGTCTCACTTTCGGTCAGTGAGTATGTGTGTGTGTGTGTGTGTTAGTGTACCTGAGAGTGTGTGTCTGTCAGTGAACGTGTGTGTTGGTTAAACAGTGTGTGCAAATGACTGTATCTGTCAGTGCATGTATCATTGAGGGCATGTGTGTCAAAGTGTGTGTTGGTCTTAAACAGGAAGGGGTGGAACTTCAAATCACTAAAGTAGTAATGGTGGCTTTAATCCGAATATTGATTTTAATCCTAACTCGTGTTTCTTCTGGCTGAGTGGTGTCTACTACGCCCTGCTCCAAATTATTATGCAAATTCACAAAGATTAAATATTTTGTTTTTCAGTTTAACTCATGGATGGCATTGTGTCTCAGGGCCCTTTTGATTACTGAAAACAATCTCGGACACCTGTGATAATTAGATTGTCAGATGCGCCCAATTTAAGGAAAAACTACTAAAGGAGGGTATTCCACATTATTAAGCAGAGCACCATTTTCATGCAATATGGGGAAGAAAAAGGATCTCTCTGCTGCCGAAAAGAGTGAAATAGTTTAATGCCTTGGACGAGGTATGAAAACATTAGATATTTCACGAAAACTTAAGCGTGATCATCGCACTAGTAAGAGATTTGTGGCTGATTCAGAGCACAGACGGATTCGTGCAGATAAAGGCACATTGAGGAAGATTTCTGCCAGATCCATGCATCGGATCAAGAGAGCAGCTGCTAAAATACCATAACATAGCAGCAAACAGATATTTAAAGCTGCTGGAGTCCCACAGACATCAAGGTGTCGAGTCCTCCAGAGTCTTGCAACTGTGCATAAATCTTCTATTCGGCCACCACTAACCAAGGCTCACAAGCAGAAACAGCTGCATTGGGCAGAAAAATACATGAAGACTAATTTTCAAACAGTCCTGTTCACTGATGAGTGTCGTGCAACCCTGGATGGTCCAGATGGATGGTTGGTGGACGGCCACCATGTTCCAACAAGGCTGCGATGTCAGCAAGGCAGTGGTGGAGTCATGTTTTGGGCCGGAATCATGGGAAGACAGCTGGTCGGCCCCTTTCGTGTCCCCGAAGGTGTAAAGATGACCTCTGTAAAGTATGTGGTGTTTCTGACTGACCACTTTCTTCCCTGGTACAAAAGGAAGAACTATGCTTTGCGTAATAAAATCTTCATGCATTACAATGCACCATCTCATGCTCCAAAGAATACCTCTGCATCAATGGCTGCTATGAGGATAAAAGGAGAGAAAGTCATGGTGTGGCCTCCATCCTCCCCTGACCTCAATCCTATTGAGAACCTTTGGAGCATCCTCAAGCAAAAGATCTATGAGGGTGGGAGGCAGTTTACATTCAAACAGCAGCTCTGGGAGGCTATTCTGACATCTTCCAAACAAATTCAAGCAGAAACTGTCCAAAAACTGACAAGTTCAATGGATGCAAGACTTGTGAAGCTGCTAGCAAATAAGGGGTCCTATGTTAAAATGTAACGTGACTTGTTAAAATGTTGTTATAAGTTTGATTGAAATATCTTTTCAATAATTTCAGTAAATATGCTGCAAACACAACAAATTAAAATTTTCAGTTCTTTACAACCTATAAAGTGTTTTGAAACGTACTGTGCGTAATAATTTGGAACAGTGCATTGTGAGTTTATGTTTGAAAAAAATACTGTTATTAGGAGGTTTGTGCAATAAAATTTGAATTGTACTCTTAATAGTTGATAACACGAGAATTATGCTGACTGTTATTTACATCAATTATTTAGATAAATGAGAAAAATAGTAGAGCCAATCTGTACTCATAAATGTCAGGTGAGACAAAGCCATTACTGTGATTGGCTCCATTAGCTATCACAGAGGCTAGGAGCCAATCTCACATTACTGCTTTCAAGTCTTGATAATAAAAACAGCCAGTACAAAACAGTAAACATGCTGAGCACGGCATGTGCAAAGAATGCCTCCTGTCATGCAACATAGTTCGAGGCATCAGAGTGCTATGCCAATTTGTCACAGCATTTCAATGCTGAACCCAGACTCTGCAAGACCAATTTTGAATGTCTCACACTTAAGATATCTAGAAATAGCTTAGTACATGCTGGGATCACCGTGCACAGAGTGTTTCTTAAGCCACTAACGCTGCACTATGAGTGCATCACTGCTTTTGCATGCTGCCAAAAGATTTCAGGTGCCACATGCAGCCATCAGGGGGCACAAATGTACCACAGGCTCTCCACAATAAAAAGTTATTCACTAAAGTGAGAATTCTAATTGTCAATCAAAATAGTTGAACGGGAAGCATAACTTTTGTAATGTAGGTATTTTGACCTTAAATTTTAAATTCACTTTTAATTCTCACTTCCAAGAATAACTGGTTATATAAACAAAAATAAACATAAGCAAGAAAAAAAATAAAAAAAATAAACAACAACAACACATAGTGTGATACTGTCTCACAAACTCAGATTAAGTGAATAAACGGAAATCAAAGAGGAAATCTTTCGCTGGAATTAAGAAGGAAAGAGGGGTTCTGGATATGCAGACTCCAGACAATGCAACTTAGGGGTTTGAATGTTGATTTCAATATAATAGGTTTATCATTTTATGCTGCATATATGTACATTATATATTTTGTTTTCTCATCTTCATTTTTATTCATTTTTTTCATGTTTATTTATTGTTATTTAAATGATTTTGGGGTTTTATTTTTTTTCTAACTCCTGTGATCATATTTGTATTAATAACTTTTCTGGTAAACATTATTTCTGACTTGTGTTAGCATTTGTATCAATCATTCTGGCATGCATTATTATTTTTTTATATCTGTATTATTTATTGTATTTTACGTTTTTTTTTTTAAACCCCTGTGGTTCCTTGGTGTGGACGGTGTTATCCAGAGCCCTGATCTCACTGCATTATATTTTTTATTTGCAGATATAGCTGGAACGCAAGTTCCACAAAGGTGGAACGCACAACGGATGCAGAAGTCCCTCACACAGCGAGGCTTGGAATGCACGCTGGCGAGGGTGAACCTACAAGCTTGGATCAATTTTAGCAAGAGTGGGGTATTTAAAAGACTGCAGACATCAAACACTAACAAGCCATTTTTCTCCGAACGGGAAGTACTGTATCTCTCCTCCGTAGAGATCTGAACGATCAGACAAAAACGCATTGAGCTCTAGGACATTTTAATTTATTTATATTAACTTTTCTGTTTTATTTGATTTGGAGTGATCCTTTCTCTGGTACCCAGCTTCTTTCCCCTTCTCCTGGAGTGAGATCTGGAGGTCCACTGGCTGCTGAAGAAAGCTATATGCTCCATTTGATTTTTTTTTTTTTTTTAATTATTTATTTTTGAAAAGACATTTACCAAGACACTTTCATTGCCAAATTGGCTTGTCAAAAGTGATATACAGTATACAAATACGAGTGGAACAATAAGTGACTTCTGTTTCAATTTCATATAAGCACATCAACAGGTTCGTTACCAAGGTATTATCGTATAACAATGTGTATGGTGTGGTTCATATGAACAGTGGAAAGTCAAAGCTCTTTATTTAGAGAAGCATGGATATATCCTGCGGTTGATGGACCCCCAGGAGCAGGTCCCACAACTTCTGGAAGGTTTTCATGGAGTTACGGAAAAGCAAGATTAAATTATCCATAAGCATGGTAATGACTAGCGAGAGAGTGGGTATCTCAGGACTCCACCATTTCTGAGCTAAGGCTCTATGAGCTGCTAGGTAAATCATATTGAGTAATTTCTTTTCAGGTCTGTTGAGGTCCTCCGTTGGTTTAGATAGGAGTCAGGCCCAGAGGTCTAGTTTAAAACCTTTGCATTATTTTAGAGCTGAGTTTTAGTACCCTGGTCCAATATCCTTGGATTGAGGGGCATGACCACCACATGTGTAGATAGTGATCTCTTTCGCCAAAGGAGCACCAGCATGTGTCGGAGGAGCTTATTTTCAAGTGAAATTGTTTCACTGGGGTGGTGTACCATCTAAAAGGTCTTCAAGGATTGCTCCTGGAAGGTTACACAGATGGGGGACTGTGCAGAAGCCTCCACTGTATCCTGCCAGTATGTGCCCTCTAATACCTCTCCCAGAGCAGCTTCCCACTGGTTTGTGTATCTGAAATCCCCCCCACTCACCAGATTCCACACTTCGGTGATTGTAGAGAAGAGATATCAAACCTTGTGGATGTGTCTGTTGGAAGCACATTTTCTCAAAGAACGTAAGAGGTTGGGATGCAATTGCTTTTACTTCATTTTTGGCAGCAAAATGTCGTAATTGTATATAACGGAAGTAATCTCTAGTGATAAGTGGTGAGAGCTCTTTGAGCTTATCGCATGCGACTATGGCATTGTCAATGTATAAATGCACACATCTTTGGAGACCCGTGTGTGCTATTCCTCTGAATTCCTTAGCTCTTATTCCCAGCGGGAAGACTGTTTCTTAATACTGGAGTCATTGGGGAGGAGAATTTACTAAGGGAGAATTTCGTAGCGGTCTGGTCCCAAATCCTGATGGAATTAAGTATAGCTGGGTGTGTTGTTTTGAGGAAGGCTCTGTGTTCCTTGGATAGTCATATGAAAAATTGGGGAAGGTCATGTCCCATAATGAGCGATTCAATGTCTATCCAGCTTTGGGAATCAGGTGGGGAGTGCCAGTGAGCTATTTGGGCCAGTTGTATTCTCCATTTGATTTTATAAGTGCAATAATAAAGAATTTTTATAAGTGACACTACCACAATATGCACTTGTTTTTTAGTTCCTGTTTTAATCAACATTTGAGCTCCGGATGGAAATAACCCATACCTGAGAAAAAAAAAAAAAAGAGAAAAACCCTTCCTAACAGGCACATTCTGAGCTCCAACCATACCTGCAGACATGGGCATCAGAGAAAGAAGTACAAGCCTACTGTTGACCTGCTGTGGTGGCCGCAAAACTCACAGAGGCCTAAAATGGCACCGATGTCAGACGAACCCTCGCGCACATCTAGTGAGGAGTCCCTCCTGGGCCCAGTGACCCTACAGGCACGACAGGCAAGCAAAGCCACCCACTCACCACCATCAGGAAAATCCCCGGTAATAGAGTACACCCTACAGAGCCTACTTGATGTGCTCCGCCGGAACATCGTGGCAGATATTGGGCAGTTCCATGAGGAAATCAAGGGTGTCTCAGCGCATCTCCACAAATCGGAGGTGAAACCTGCGGCCCACGAAACCTGCATTGCTGCCCTAAAGCAGAAGCAAGCCACGGTGCTTGAAGACAAGCGCCGCTTTAAAATGTTAAAATCCACTACCTACCTGCCAGTATTGACACGGCGGAAGTCCCTCGCATTATACGCCGACTGCTTCTTGTATTGTTTCCAGCTAAAAAGGCCAAATCAATTTTCCTATATCAGTGATGGCGAACATTTTTGAGCCAGAGTGCCCAAACCGCAATACAAACCAACTTTCTTTCCTCAAAGTGCCAACACTGCAATTTAACAACAATTATACACACTGACACACACACACAGTGACTGACAGACACAGACACACACACACACACACACTTCCCCCACCACTCACAAATTACTATTTTTATTTTATTTTAATCTAACTGCACCCAACCTCCGTGGGAGAGCTTGAGTGGATTCCTGACCTGGGGTCCAGTGGGGCTGCAGGTGCTGCTAGGCAGACAGGGGGCAAACTGGCAGAGTAGGCGACGCGGGAACTCTGCTCACGCACCGATTAGTGATGGCAGAAGTCGGTCTGACGTCATATTCCGGCTCCCAGAATCACAAAGTAGCTTGCGAGTGACCTGAGCAGTAAGCGCTCAGGCTACAGCACTCCCTCGCCGCAAGCCCGCAATAGAAGCTGCCTTCGGCCTCAGGGGGTAAGGAGGGCCAAAGGTGGCAAGCTCTTGAGCCCCTCAGGACACGAGGCTAGCAAGGCAGTGCCGCCAAAGGCAAATGCATTGTTAACCTCGGAGTGAATACACCGCTGGGCACCCTACCGGTGACCTATGGCTGCGTGTCCACAGAGAGGGCTCGGCGTGCCAGCTGTGGCATCACTGTCTTAGATGGATGTCACCGAAATGCAGGGCCACCACTTGGCACGACAGGGGCAGGCAGAGATGTAGTTCTGCGGTTCCAGCTGAGCCAAAACTAAACAATCTTCATGGCAGGAGTTCGCAACACACCACCTCTCTAGTTTGAGGAGCACAGCCTTACCTTTTTCGCAGATTTGTCTAGAGGCCACCGTGGACTGGCGACGGTCAATGAGACCCCTGACCCAGGAACTCACTACCCATAAGGTGCCATAGAAATGGAGCACCCCTCGATGCCTGTCCATACCCAGGGCTACAGGAGCGATACGAGACTCTGCGATGCGTCAGAGAGAGCTGACATCCTGCAACAACTTGGCCTAGCTACAAGTGCCACAGGGCAGTCTGCTATAGCGCCTACAACGACATCCACTACCTGGGACCCTGATAGGGTCACACCATTTGTACCAGCAGCCTGACAAGATGTCGTCTCAGCAACTTCAGTACCATGACTTTTGCAGATCGTATTATACACAATACCAATACTTTGCATGTTTCACAAGTTCTTTATTTACTTAGCTTACAGTCATTTTTGTGTTCCAACTTAAACCCTCGGAGTGCTCCCAGGCACACTATTTTTCCCACCCCTCATGAACACTATATCACCATCAGACCCATCCACTTCTAACCACCACCACCACTAGCCCTCGTAGAGGTTCCAAACTCCTTACGCAATACCCAGAGGTAAGGTACTCCTTACCACCTTACGCAATACCCAGAGGTATATGTTGCCCCATGCCAACACGCAACATTATCTATTACTATCTTACCGCTCCTTAGGGCGTGAGATTCACACTGCTTACCCTACTAAACCTTGTTCAGTTAACTGCATTAAAATCCACAGTCCCACTATTTAAGGCTTATTATCGTTATGTACAATGCTGCAATGTCATTACTGGTTATTTATTCTTATTCTGCCTGCAGTATTGTACACCTTTATTATCTACCAGTGAAAACAGGGACAAAGATTGACAACAATGTACCATCTTGTCCCTCACATTTTGAGCCTGTGTTTATAACTCTAAAGCTATTGTGGCCTTGCAAGCTGTCATGTTATATTATGCACAAGAATTTAAAAAATAAATAAATTTAGAGCAAACAATCCAGTCAATACAATATAACAAATTACTGTAGTAAAATATTTTTTAGATAATTTGCAGTAACTTCCAATATAATTTTTGAATTCAAAACTACAGTTGAAAAGATCTCTAGTGACCCATCTAATAAACACCATGTCCATTTTTCATTCTACATCAGCCACTATACAGCTTCACTGCTAACCATGGCAGTATAACCATTGGGGTGGCACAGCACTCAGACAACACATCAGGAATAATTGAATATCTAGATTTTTTACCTGTCATCACGTGACATGGTTTGCAGCCTCCCATGAAAAAAAAAAATTCAGGTACAGCTTAAAGAAGGCAAGGGACTTTCTGAGTTAAATGATCTCAGTGTGTTGGAGATGGCATTAGGCATGTAGTCATGTTATATACTGTGGATCCCTTGGGAGAGCAGTAAGGAGACATGTTACTTTCATTTTATTTCTGTAAAAGATTTCATTGTCCATAATCAAATGGATCCTTTCTATAAACATTAAAATAATTAAGAATTCTATAATTTAGTCAGTGGATTTCCCCTCTTTCTCCCAGGAATAAAGTTATTAATGCAAAACAGTGGCTTTGGCTTTACTGGTTTCTAATCATGCCATATATTAACCCCTTAAGGACACATGACATGTGTGACATGTCATGATTCCCTTTTATTCCAGAAGTTTGGTCCATAAGGGGTTAAAGCTTGAGACAGCAGAAGGGTGCAGTTCCCAGGAGATTAAAGGAATAATAGAAAAACTGTTCCAGCTGTGGGAAGAAAACATTGGAGGCAAAGAGACTACTGCCTCGTTTCTGCATTTAAAAAAAAAAAAACAGGTCATCCCCACTCAAACAGGAACTCTACTATACCAAAAAAAAAAAAAAACACAAAAAAAACCACCTCATCTCACATATATACTCAAGTACTAAGCACAACAGCCTTTGCCTTCTCTTGCATTATATTTACAAGATGCTGGGCAATTATTACTGCATTATGCTTTGACAAGTTATCCACTCATACATGTTTTCATCACATGTGAAATGAGAAAAATAAAGAATTATTAAAAAATAAAAAATATATATTATATATATATATATATATATATATATATATATATACACACACACACACACACACACACACAGGTAATCCTCATCAAGTGCAAAGAGTCTGAAATGTGAGGATTAAAGAGGTGACACAAAAAAGTAAGACTTTGAAAAGAGCAAGGCAAGCTACTAAACAATCCAGTTTAAAATCAAGAAAAATGCTCCATAGCAGACTCCTCATAGAAAGAAGCAGACACGTAAGCCAACCAATCAGAGCACTCTGGCTGGCAAGTCTCTGCTCTCATGAGACTTGTGTGCCCAGTCACTAGTTTTTATTAACAGTTTGGAGATGCTGCTGGTGGTGGTAGTGTATCTTTGTGAGGATGCAAGCTTGATGTGTTGCATTTTTGAGGTTAGGCTACTTGTGGTGTCGCTGGTTTCTGGAGATGCTGCATGAGGGGTTGTGTACATGTGTGGGATGCTGCTTGTGTGGATGTGTACATGTGTGGGAGGCTGCTTTTAAAGGTTGCATGTATGGGCAAGAGGCTGATTTGGGGTTGTGTGTGTCGTTAAATCTGTTTGCCTGTGTGCATGTAAATAAGAGCTATGGCTAGAGGTTGTAGTATGTGTGGTGTTGAGCATCAGGAGTTAATTTGTGTTTAGGGAAAGAAGGGCAGTAGGTTGTATATGGGCAGTATGTTGCATTTGGGGTATATAGGCTTTAGTATTATTTTGGAATAATATTGGAGCTGCAAAGTGTATGTGTGGAAATTCGGGCTGTAGTGTGCATTTGTTGAGGTATAGAAGGTGCTGTAGTGTGGGGAATAGTAGCTGTGGTGGGGACTTAGAGACTAAAATGGGAGGGATAGAGTCTGTAGTGGGGTTACAGTGCATGGGGGATAGACCACTTTATCTCAATGAAGGTCTCTCAATGCACTGTTCCATTCCCCTTATCGCTGCAGCTGAACACATTGCAGTTTAAGAAAGTTCAGGGTTAAAGGGTATTTGACCTTAAATTTTAAATTCACTTTTAATTCTCAGTACAAATAACTCTGGTTATATAAACAAAAATAAACATAAGCAAAAAAGACAGTGTGATACTGTCTCACACACACTTCCTAGATTAAAGGGACTCTCCAGTGCCAGGAAAACAATCCTGGCACTGCAGGTCCCCTCTCCATCCCACCCCCCCATCCCAGGTTGCTGAAAGGGTTAATACCCCTTCAGTGACTTACCTGTGCCTGTGTCCGCGCATGCCCATTAGACCTCCCCATAGGAAAGCACTGAATAGTGATTTCAATGCTTTCCAATGGGGATTTCGGCAACGCTGGAGGTCTTCACATAGCGTGAGGATGTCCAGCGTCGTTATAACACACTTTTCGTGTTCTATGTCCTCTAGTGGCTGTCTATGAAGACTGCAACAATTACACTTGCAGGGTTAAGGGTAGTGGGAGTTGGCACCCAGACCACTCCAATGGGCAGAAGTGGTCTGGGTGCCTGGTGTGTCCCTTTAACACTGCCTCTAATCACTGTCTCTCAGAGTTTAACTCTGTGAAACCACACTGAACATTCTCAGACTTTGTATGAGGACATCCAGCATTCAAAACCCCACAAGAAAACACTGTCAATGTTTTCCTAAGGGGAAGACCTGCGGCACACACTGCATGCACATTAGGTTACCCATCGGGCTGACTTCAGATGAGTCAGAACCAGCTCTTATGTCAGAGGACTACGAAGCTGGAGTCAGGTAGTGGTTAAAAGATTATTTAACTCTTTCGTGGCCAGGAGGGCTGTGGAGGCACAGGGACACTGCAGTGTTAGGAATACAGCTTTGTATTCATAACCATTTAATTAATCATATCCTGTCAGCTGAAGGAAGAGATAAGCCATAGGTGATGATCAATGGAAAACAGCCAACAACAGTTCTAAAATCCACATCATAATCACTAATGAAAAACACTATGATAAAAAGAACTGTTCAGTCAAACACTATATGGCAATCTTGCAATATTATACAGATCTGACATTCTTACGGTTCATATTCCAATACATAAATATTTCAAATCAAATATTAAAACATATTGATCTTGGACCGGTGAGTATAATTTGCAATAGAAATTTATTTAGAATTGTACAGTTTCTATAGAAGTTGTTCCTTAACTTCTGTTATGATTACTGGAAATCATTTTTAACATGAAACCTCATTACATGAGGTTGTGCAATATCAGATGTTTAAAATATTTGGAGTTGTGATGATAGATATTGTTGCAAAGAACCAGCCCACAAACAATGTTGCAAAAAAGAGAGCATTCACTGGACTTGTAAGTAAGTATATATAATGTAGTCTTTATTATATACATATAAACATAGTAACAAACAAAATATAGATGTTTCAGTCCATAAGGACTTTTCAAAAAGACAAATGTTCTACTTAAAGGACCACTATAGGCACCCAGACCACTTCAGCTTAATTAAGTGGTCTGGGTGCCAGGTCCAGCTAGGTTTAACCCTTTTTGCTGTAAACATAGCCGTTTCAGAGAAACTATGTTTACCTATGGGTTAATCCAGCCTCTAGTGGCTGTCTCATTGACAGCCGCTAGAGGCGCTTCCGCGCTTCTCACTGTGATTTTCACAGTGAGAAGACGCCAGCGTCCATAGGAAAGTATTGAGAATGCTTTCCTATGAGACTGGTTGAATGTGCGCGCAGCTCTTGCCGCGCATGCGCATTCAGCCAGGGACTTCAGAAGAGGGAGAAGAGTCCCAGCGCCGGGAAAAAGTTAAAGGATTAACCCCTTCCTCCCCCTTCAGCGCCACGGGAGCGGGACCCTGAGGGTGGGGGCACCCTCAGGGCACTATAGTGCCAGGAAAACTAGTTTGTTTTCCTGGTACTATAGTGGTCCTTTAAGAATACTAAAAAGTGCTCTCCAATCGGAAAAATAATTTGTTGTGTTCAGGGATTTACATATGGGGTAACACACTAAATACAAGAATAAAAGGGACACAGACACACCAATAAAATAGGCTAGAATACTAGAGGGGAAAATATTCAACCTATCAATATATACTAAATATAATATATACTAAAAGTATTTTATATTCCTTGCTTTATATCTCATTAAACTATATTTTTTTCTTTAGTTTATAAGGACTTATTTTTGTTTGACATGCCTATTGGCGTGTCAGACATTTTTGTATTTAGTGGGTTTTACTTAAAGGGACTCTCCAGTTCCAGGAAAACATATCTGTTTTCCTGGCACTGCAGGACCCTCTAGTCACCCCTTCAGTGACTTACCGGAGTCCAGCACCAATGTCCCTCGGTGCTGGGTCAGGCTCCGTCGGATGAGACCTACTGCGCAAGCACGCGCATTAGACCTCCCTACAGGAAAGCATTGAATGCTTTCCTATGGTGATTTCGGTGACGCTGGAGGTCCTCACATAGCGTGAGGACAGCCAGCGTCGTTATAACACACTTTTCGTGTTATATGAACACGGAAGTGTCCTCTAGTTGCTGTCTAGTAGACAGCCACTAGAGGAGGACCTAACCCTGCAAGGTAAATATTGCAGTTTATGAAAACTGCAATAATTACACTTGCAGGGTTAAGGGTAGTGGGAGTTGGCACCCAGACCACTCCAATGGGCAGAAATGGTCTGGGTGCCTGGAGTGTCCCTTTAAGCAGATTTTTCTTAGTGAACTGGGGACTGAAACGTTGATATTTTGTTAAAGTCACTATGTTTTTATGTAGAGAATAAAGACTATGTTATACAGTATATACTTAGAAGTCCAGTGAGAGTTTGTGGGCTTGAAGCAAAGTTATTGAGAAAGGAAGTTGAGTGCTGGATCTTTGCAAGGATCTATCCATCACCACCACCACATCAGATATTTCAAACATCTGATATTGTGCAATCACTGAGTTTTCACATTGAAAATAATTTCCCGTAATCATAAATTAAAGAACAATTTCTATAGAAACTAAAATTCTCACACATATATATCTTTTACGCAAACATATATCACATTTTTTAAATTTAATATGCATTCTTCCTAAAAATAAAATCCTTTATAAATTAAAATAAATAATGCACTCCATGAAAGCATTATGAAATTGTGCAGCCTCTCCATTTTATCTAACATAATTAATAATCCCCCCAATCTGGACGTGGTGTGATAATGGGTGCAGAGATTTACCTGCAGAGAGAGCTCAGTCGCCACATTTGTGTCCATACTCCAGCTGCAGAATGTCATCAAAGAGATATCCTCCATTTTCAGCCAACAAAGGGATCAGATTTAGCCCCTGAGACCCTCTGAGACCCCCCCTGAGACCCTGTGAGCGGCAGCTGGTGACAGATAACAAAGCTCAGATGATGGAGGATGGGATAACAGCAGAGCAGATAATCTCCTTCATGTATAGCTCTAAATAATAATGCTCAGTAGGCAGCCATGGGCTGGGGTGAGATTCTATGTCGCCGGTATGATTTATAAAGCCAGGGCCAGCCAGGGAAGGTGCATCAGACCAACAAGGGACATCTCACACTCTGCCTACAATAGAATACGCCGCTGGGCATGGCTACTGAGGGCAAGCGAGTCTGATGTTTGGAGCGTCTTGTGGGCAGCGCCTAAGCCGTGACGTCAGGACGTAGGCGCGCACGGCGAAACGTTCCCGGAGAGACGTGACGTCGAGTTCTCGCGAGAGGACGCGGGATTCAGTTCCGTCAAGGCGGAATTAGCTATGGTTTGGTCAAGAGCGGTGGTCCTCAAGGCTTTCACTGCAGGGATACGTTGCCAAGTGTTAAGAACTACACATCCCGTGATGCTCTGCGCGGCTCTGCAGCAGCTGGAGTGCCAGTGGTTGACTATCACTGCTCAGTTCTGCTCAGTAAAAACACCATGAAAGCTGGCTCTCTAGGGGCAGAGACTGCTAAGGATCGCTTGGGGATAGCTGCTTGGGAGTAGTGGAAGGGGTATTCAGTTCTTTATGTGCAGTATTGATTGTGACTGGAGGATGGTGATTTAGTAGGAGTGCTTTGAAAGGGAGAGAGGGGTATGGGGAAAAGGGTTAGATTTGGGGGTTGACAATTCTAGAAAAATGACAAGAGAATTGGAAATTCTTAAATTAACCCCTTAAGGACACAGCTTCAGAAGCTTGACTTACGCTTAATGACACAAGCAATTTTTGCATTTTCTTGCTGTTTGCGTTCAACTGCAATTTGCATCTCTCTCATTTATTGCACCGACACATATTATATACTGTTTTTTAAAGGACAGAAAGGGCTTTAATTTGATATAACATATATATATATATAAATGCTTACTTATTATAAAAAAAATACAGAAAAATGCAAAAAAAATGAAAAATATTGTTTTTTTTTACAGTTTTTGCAATAATAATGTGTGCATAATTAGTGCAGGTTAAGGAAAGTAATTAAAAATAAATTTATTTATTTGTTCTGATTTACAGAATATATAATGTGTCTGGGATTTTAAGTTTTTTTTGGTAGTTACAGGTCACAAAGCACAAGGAGTAAAATAAACTTTTAATGTGGAGCGATTTTAGAATTTGGTATGTTTGTCTTGTAAGCTTAATAGCCATAAAAGAAAACAAAATTGCCACACAAAAGTATATATTTATATAAAGTAGACATCACGGGCTATTTACCTAAGGTTGTTTTGACACTTTCTACGTAGCCATTTCACCGCCAACCTCTGCTAAATATTGGAGTAAAATTGTGTTCTTTTTGGTTTTTGGCACACAAACTTATAACAGAGAAATTCTCGTGTATATTTTGTAAAGTTGGTGTGTGCTATTCCTGTACAAAGTTTTATTTTGTGTTCAGTTACATCTGCTGAGTAAAATGACACCCCCATTGTATGTCTTTTGCACTATTTCGTGAAGTTACAGTGCCATACAGGATACCTGTCCTTTTCAGTATTCACAGTAGAATTTTGAGAGATGAATTTAATGAGCCTTAGCTTCCATTTGGGGTATTATAACAGTTTGACTGTTCAAAAAACCCCCACAAAGGCCTACCATTTGTAAAAGTAGACACTCCAGGGTATCTTATAAGGTGCATATTGTGCCTTAACATGCCCCCATTTTTCACCAATATATGCCAAAGTATGTGGTAAAAAATAATTTTGTGCATTTTTTACATACGGATTGCATTTTTGCTGGGCGTTTTGTATATTTCATATGTGCCACTAAGTTCAAAACCCCCAAATTATGCTCAGCTAAGTCTTCTGAGTAAAATGACACCCCATATGAATGTCTTTGGCACTATTTCGTGAAGCTACAGTGCCATATAGGAGACCAAGCCATATCCGTTTTTACCAAACTTTGAATTTTGACGCTGGGCCTATGTGCAATTTCCAAGCATCTTCGCAGGTTTTAAATTCAAACTACCCCACAAAGGCCTACCATTTCTTAAAGTAGACACCCCAGGGTGTTTCAAAAGGTATAGTTTGAACCTTAGCGTGGGATCATTTTTCCGCTAGCTTGTACCAAGTGTAGTGGTAATAAGCATTTTTTCTGCCTTTTTGACATACAAAGTGAGTTTGCGCAGCATATTTTGCAAACCTTATGTGTGCTATGACTGTATAATACTTCATATGTTGCTCAGCTATGTCGGTTGAGTACAGCAATACCCCCGTATGTACCTTTGCCAGGTATATGTGGATGTTGAAGGGGCGCATTTGAGACGCAGCCATTCAGTTTTTTTCTAACTTTGAAGTTTTATGCTGTGCCTATGTCCCATTTTAGAGTATTTTACCAGGCTATATAATCCAAATTCCCCATAAAGCCATACCATTTCTTAAAGAAGACATCCCAGGGTATTTCAAAAAGGCATATTTTGAACCTCAGCGTGGGATCATTTTTCCGCAAGCTTGTACAAAGTGTAGTGGTAATAAGCATTTTTCTGCCTTTTTGACATACAAAGTGAGTTTGCACAGTATATTTTGCAAACCTTATGTGTGCTACGACTGTATAATACTTAATATGTTGCTCAGCTATGTCGGCTGAGTACAGCAATACCCCCGTATGTACCTTTGCCAGGTATGTGTGGACATCGGAGGGGCACATTTGGGACACAGCCATTCCAGTTTTTTTCAAACTTTGAATTTTTATGTTGTGCCTATGTCCCATTTTAGAGTATTTTACCAGGCTAAATAATCCAAATTCCCCATAAAGCCATACCATTTCTTAAAGAAGACATCCCAGGGTATTTCAAAAGGCATATTTTGAACCTTAGCGTGGGATCATTTTTCCGCTAGCTTGTACCAAGTGTAGTGGCAATAAGCATTTTTTCTGCCTTTTTGACATACAAAGTGAGTTTGCACAGTATATTTTGCAAACCTTATGTGTGCTACGACTGTATAATACTTCATATGTTGCTCAGCTATGTCGGCTGAATACAGCAATACCCCCGTATGTTCCTTTGCCAGGTATGTGTGGACATCGGAGGGGCACATTTGGGACACAGCCATTCCAGTTTTTTTCAAACTTTGAATTTTTATGCTGTGCCTATGTCCCATTTTAGAGTATTTTACCAGGCTCTATAATCCAAATTCCCCATAAAGCCATACCATTTCTTAAAGAAGACATCCCAGGGTATTTCAAAAGGCATATTTTGAACCTTAGTGTGGGATCATTTTTCCGCTAGCTTGTACCAAGTGTAGTGGTAATAAGCATTTTTTCTGCCTTTTTGACATACAAAGTGAGTTTGCGCAGCATATTTTGCAAACCTTATGTGTACTATGACTGTATAATACTTCATATGTTGCTCAGCTATGTCGGCTGAGTACAGCAATACCCCCGTATGTACCTTTGCCAGGTATATGTGGATGTTGAAGGGGCGCATTTGAGACGCAGCCATTCAGTTTTTTCTAACTTTGAAGTTTTACGCTGTGTCCATGTTCCAATTTGGAGTAGTTTAGACGGTTGGTTATTGAAACTTCCCCACAAACACATACTATTTATTAAAGAATACACCCTGGGGTAATTCAAAAGGCATATTTTGAACCTTGGCGTGGGATAATTTTTTCTCTAGTTTGTTCCAGGTGTAGTGGTAATGAGCATTTTTAAAATGTATTTTTTTACTTTTTATAACTTTTTTACTTTTAAAAACTAGTTTTTAAACTTTTGTTTTGCTTATAAATTTTTTTTAAACTTTTCTAAACTTTCTTAAAACTTTTTTACAGATTTAACATTTTTCTAAGCTTTTTTTTTTACCGTTAACCCCTAACTAGCAGTACGCAGCACTAACAGTAAATTCCCCATTTTCCCATAGCTCCCACCCACCCCAGCTAGCAAAATATATAGTTATAAAATATTTAAATTAATTAATTAAATAAATTGAACCCCTGAGGGTTAAAAAAATAAATAAAAGTTAATCCTCAGGGGTTAAAAAAAATTAGATCACAGTATAATACTGTGATCTCTATTTGATTGCTGTAGGCAGTGATCGACTGGCAGGGAAGGGGTTAATTTTTATTTGGACTAGGTAAAGTGTGTTTTTTTAGTTTTTTTTAACTTAAATGTTATTAAAACATTTTTTTAAGCTTAATTTTTAACTTTTTAAAGTTTCTTTTAAAACTTTTTTTTAACGTTAACCCCTAGTTAGCCTAACGCCAAATCCCCCAATTCCCCACTAACTTCCACCTACACCAGCTAGCTAAATATAGAATTAAAAAAAAAAGAATTAACCCTCAGGGGTTAAAAAAAAAAATCAGATCATAGTAAAATGTAATCCCTGCCAATTGATCACTGTAGTCAGTGATCAATTGGCAGGGAAGGGGTTAATTTTTTATTAAAATGGGTAAGGGGGGGGACTTTAAATAAACTTTATTTTTTTAAACAGCAGGGGGCAGGATCAGCACTGATCCGGCTCCCTGCACTTCACACAGAACCCGGAAGTGCAGGGAGCCGGAAGGTAAGTATACAGAGCACATGTGCTGGGCAGCCTGACCGGGTGCTCCCGGTATGCCTCTAATGCAGAGGCATACTGGAGCACCATTAACCCCGCGATCGCCGCAATAGCGGCGATCCGGGGTTAATTTTACCGCGTGACGGACGAGGTCCGTCACCCGTCGTTAAGGATCTCCCCTCTGTGACGGACCTCGTCCGTCACCCGTCCTGAAGGGGTTAAGGACTGAGCCAAATGTACACAAAACAAAATGTAAACAAAACCTGGCATTTGCGCTACATGTCTGTCAACCGTAATTCACCTCTTT